ACTTCCTACCAATATGACTAAGTTGCGAAAACATGTTCAAACAACTGCTATAAAATAAAATCATTTTGATGTGAATAGGTTCCAAAATTGTTAATAATTATCGAATGAAAATTTAGTCACTTCAGATCACTTACGAATGTCCATATTTGTGGATCAAAGAGTGTGCCAAATTAAAGCTCCTTAAAAAGGGCTGTTTTCAGAAGGCATATCAATTGCTACATCTGCCTATAATGGAAATTAACTAACTCTCACAGACGTTTATAGTAATTTAAAGAACGATTATACAACATATTCTTGTTTGACGGAAGCCAGGTCTTTTATGATCTTGATTCTCTTTGGTCAACAGTTTCTACAATCATAGGCTGTAGATTTAGAAGAGTTTTTTCACCATTGCTACATTTTTAAAGCGATCAGCATCTTAAAGTTCCAACTTGTATATTGGATTCTTGAATAACGCTTGTACACAATCATACTGCCATATTATGATAATCTCACTGACTTTTCTATTTCCGTCTTGATTTTCAAGTTTATCAAGTAAGTTACTTCATTTAATCACGAATCTACTTTTACATATTGAACCAGTTATTCTAATACTTCGCCCCAAATTCATTATGAATTTAGTCTTGCTGCGTGTTTGCTTTATGGCCTGTCCTAACAGTTTTTGTTACAAATGCTTGTTATATTTATATGTCTCTAATTTACCTCTAGCATTTTATATTGCCTTAGCCTCTTGATCCATTTATACCTACTCTCGTATGTCCCGGACACTGATATTCTCACTGTTTATCAAATTCACCCTGTCTATTTATCCTCAATTTCTTACGTTGTTACGATTTAATGTCCAAGCTAAAATTTGTCCCAAGCCACTCTTATGATTTAGTCAATATAACTGTCAATTTTCTTAAATTTTTAAAGGTAATCTTCCAAGCACATTGTCTATCCTGCTTAGAAATTACTTTATTTCTCTTTTTCAATTTATTACTTTTGGGCCCTCAATGGTAGTGATATTATTTCTCAACTTGCGTTTGTGAACCTCAAATCTAGGTTTACTCAAAAACGTGTTTGCTATAGTTAGGCTCGAGTCTAAATTTTCTAATCGTGATAATAAAATCTACTTTGCTTGAATGCGTGTCACACCTATTTGCTGTAATGGTTGTTGATATGAGCCAAAACACATTACTTCTTTTTATTGATACCGGTTAATGTCGCTATGTTGTTTTTATCGCCATTCGATTTGTTTTTCCACATTTCCCACATAAAATGGATCACTTTTATATATTATTTCTTACCTCGTTTTGCTTCCGTTATAATAGAAAATATTAGAAACCACTGTTTGATCCTGCGTTTATCACAAAACCCAATGCTCCTGTTCTGATTCACTAATGAAAGGACACTGCTTGTCACTGTTACTCTATTTTAGATTAACTGATTGGCATTAAATTTGTACATCTAATCTCAGCCTCTTGCAAACCAATATACTTCATATCAAAAGGAACTAGGAATATATCTTTTGGCTTCCGTAAGGGCAGAGACGGTTACTAATTATTTGTAATTTTTATAATTGAGTTCTACTCCATTGTATCCACAACCTTTATGATTCATGCGATCATGTATTATACTGCTTGGGAAGTCTTTACATTCTTTTGCATATTTTGCAGATATTCTTATATTTATGACCAAGACCTTTTGAATGTCGGGAGCCTTAACCAAATTTTTCATTAGCTCAGAAGCAATTTATCTTGCTTTCACATCTATTTTGCCATTTTATCATATACTAACATTGAGTTTCTTTGTTGTTTTGCATTCCATTTTTCGACAAACTAACTGAACCTTGTGAGGCCTTTTAAAAATATATATGCTTATTGCATTTATTACATTTACTCTTCGTTTGTGCCGGTAATTATCAACTTCAGCTAATTCTCATAGTAACTCAACTCACGCTCTTCTACTGAATGCAATTGAGTTATATTCGCTTACATTATCCTAAATCCAAAGCATTGCTCAACCCAAGAGAAACTGTTTATTAACTTTTTATTTATTTTTCTTTATCCACTTTATCCCATGTTAACGCATATTATTTTCGATTATTTTACTTAAGCACCTACCAGGATCTCCGAACTCGAGCTAGCTAGCGATCCAGATTACCATTATGGCTCTGCGCTTCAAAAGAGCTCTAGTTTTCTCGGATCTACGGCATCTCCAAATGTTTGCACAGCTATCTTCACCGGTAACTCGGGGGTTGGAGCTTCAACCACACGTTTAACTGTCTCGAACGCCTCCATACCACCCCTGACACCCTCAATCTATGCGACGCCTCGGCGACTGTCGTCCTTCCCTCTTCCTGTCACTACCACGGCCTGTTTGCAAGCTAAAACACTTGAGCAAACACAAGTAGAGCCAACACATGCACCGGCTCCTTCTATGTCCAGATTGGCACATGCCGCTCTCACTTCTTTGCTAATCAGCCTCGGAGATCGAGCTTTCTTGAACCAATTTCCGGGTAAGGCTGCCATAAATTCGACAAAACCTGAAGCCAGCCAGCAGCATCGCAAGTATAAGCCAACCTGCAATGAAGCTGCTGCTTTTACTTCTGGCCAAATAGGCAATATTTTAAATTTGCATGCCCACCTTTCAAATCATTTGGATACTAAGTTCATGACACCAGCCTCTTCAAGTGGCCCGAGCAGTAGTGACAGTACCCAATTGCTGATGACTCCATGCTTCCCTGGGTTTAGCTCAGCCACTCAGGATTCAGAGGACCTCCTGCTTAATAAAACTCATGTCATTATTGAGGTTAGTTATCCGATTTTCAAAAATCCCCTTCTTATTTCCGAAAGTTTCATTTGATTCTTAGCCTAGCTTTATCTAGCATTTTTCATCTGGCTACCAAATCTAATACCAATGTGAATGGTTTACACATATATAGCTGTTAATACCTCCGACTTATCACATACTTGTCGTATTTAAAACCCTGTCTATTCATAAAACTTTACTACAAAAACTTTTACATATGATATTAGAGAGTCACTTCACTTATCCTCTCACATATGACGAAACATTAAACGCTTGCATTAGCTCTCGTGCAGGGGTGCGGGAATGTGTCAGCTTAAAGTTCCATATAGATTCGGCCTTGCATCATGTCTTTTTAGGCAGGACTGCAGCAACTCTGACTTCGTCAAGCTCTTCAAATTAGCTGTTCCCAATCGCTTCACTTAGCCACCTAGATTGAAATCCTAGCCAATCGATCAGTATGAATATTTATGAGAACAGAGTAGCTTTCTTTCTTTCCTTTCTTAAAAGTTTGTCCTTATCCCTCTTTTGATTCCTTACTTCTTTTTTATTTACCCTTTTTTTAATCAAGATTTTTTGTCATGAACCTTTATTTTCATATATATCTATTTACAGATTTTTACATTCCTGGGATTACATTTTTTTCTTCTTTTTTTACAGGGTCCTATTCTTTATAGCCGGGCACCTATCCATCTCTCCTTACCCCAACACCCTAGCAAATCTGATCATGCGCAGAGTTCGTGCTCTGTTGGTGTAGGTTATTTTGGAAATGAACAACCTCCTCTTCCTACTCGACTAACATCCTCTGAGAGAATTGAACCCGATTATTCTTCTAAAGTTGCTGAATCCTCCTCGTCTGTTTTGAAAACTAGGGTTCCCTCACCACCCCCTAGGATCACCGTACCCGTTTCTAACTGTCATTACGTATCTGGTTTATCCACGACTACTCTGGATAAAAACAATGTCGGCGAAACTTTGACCTCCAACCACCTTCAGCCTTGTTCCTTTGCTACCAGCACTACTTCCACAGGACTTTCTGTTACGAGAAACCTCATTTTATCCCCTTATTCTGCTTCTTTAATCACACATTTCCCCGCTGCTTCTCCCCCTTTATCTTCCTTACCTTTATTACCATGCGTAAACGTTACTCCCTTACTAAATAATTCTCAAGCCTCCACAGGCCAATTGCCTATGCTACTCAATTTCGTTTCCACAAGACCGTCTTCCACAAATATGGATGTACATCCACTTAATGAACAGCCGCATATGGCCTCTTCCTGTTCAAGACAATGGCCTGATGTTCCAGAATCTATAGCTACCTCACGATTTAACTCTCATGTACAGGTGCAGCGACCGCTACCTGCTTCATTTCATGGTGATGCCAT